GAGTCAAATTCTCATTTCACCTTAACACCAATATACATAGAGCAAGTTCTACATTATTTTCATTGGTAAATACCAATATCGTGATATTAATGATAAATGTATCCAATTAAACTAGTGTCGCAAAGCTCAATCTTAGATAGACAACATATAGTAAACTGACAATATTTCACTGAAATGCCTATTTATGATAAAGTCAACTTTGAATTAAATAAAGGTCATACTTCAAGTGAAACATTGACTATATATCCTATTCCTGGTCACAGTCTTTTCTTCTTATATTCTCTCCAGAAATGACCATAGTATCTTCGACTATTCTAATGAAATGACTAATAACAAAATCTTAGTAATAAAGCTAATACAAAGGAAAATCCATTAGCTATACTAAGTAACAAGTAGGCTATTTAACTCATAAACAAGGATTTCCTTTACTTTATCTCACAGTTACAGATGGCTGATAAAAATTATTTAACTTTAGTTCTTAACACAAACAGTTAAAGTGATTTCCTACAATCCTATCATCTAATTTTTGTCTCTGTATATGCAATATATTTTGAAATTAGTTTGTAAGACATGGGAAAAATCAGGTTTAACTATATAGTCTACAGAAGGACTTGATCTGTTTTATTCAAGTCCAAAAACAAACCTGTCTGAGATTTTTCTGTGATCAGATCAGATTTTCAATCATAACTAAGGCATAATACTAATAGGCCTATAACAAAAACAATCTATGAACTAGCACATTCCAATTGTATTAGAATGAAGTGAATAAAACCACTATAGGCCTCTGTGTTTATTTATCATATTATAGCTTAGTATCATTTGACCGAGTTCATTAATTTGCCAGCGGTCGTGACCCGGGCCACTTGATATCGTTGTTTGATGTCGATGAATGAATGCAAAAAATGTTCACCTCCAAAAGCATAAATGACGTACCTTGATCGGTTGATTCACTTGCCAACCTTTCATGGGATCTTAAAGGATTTTTTTTACAGAAAGCTGAAATTATTTTACTGATTTCGCAGGTGTCAGTCTTCAGATATTCACTATTGTTGATATTTACATGGAAATACAACCTGCTTATTACAGATTCTCAGCCATAACCGGAAGTCTACAGCGGAAGTTTGTTATTAGACGATTCGTAACAAGGAAGAAACTTTTCAGATTATGTGTCAAGGTTGCTTTGCAACTTATTCTGTACATTAAATTAAATTTGAACTTGCTTATAAGTTATAAGGCAAATCTATTCATTAATCCGAAGATCAATGTCCCAATAAGTGACGATTTCTTGGGAGATTGGTTTGGCGGAGGGGGCAGGTAGCTTAAGTAGGGGGTAATGCGACTGGCCTTGCTTTGCCTATTCGCCCTTTCCTTCCACTATCATATTTCTTATCACTGGTTTCGACTTGGCCGTTCGCCAATTGATTCTTATTAACGCCACGGATTCTAACCTAAACATGGAAACAGTCCGATGGAGATTTGGCCTAGGAAGAGGTTGAGATGAACTATTAAGACCCTAGTCCATTGCTTCTCAACCTCAGTGAGATAATCCTCCCGCCACCCCAGGCAGACTTCTTTCAAAAGCTATTCCTTCAAAAAAATTTCCTATTTCCAAACGTATTTCACTCGATTCAAGGGATATCATACTAAAAAGTTCAATGAGGCCCCCGGATGACGTCGATTTCAGTCGTAGAATACCTTGCCTCCCATGTCCGCCCGGTCTGACGATGCCTCCCCATCATCCTCCTGCCAATAATTCCTCCCCATGGCCTTCCAGTTCCTCTGGGGGGGGGGGGGGGGGGGGGGGGGGGGGGTCTTTTTTCAGTACACAGAAGACGGCAATGAGTTGAACAAGATTAGATTCAGAGTTATAGAGTTACATATATAAGAGTTGAACTAATATTTAAAGATCCAGAAATGAATCTTAATGAACTTTTCGCCAAAATATATTGTAATTGTTAACATAATATTCTCGATAGGCCTCTGGATATATTATCTGTGTCAATATGAATGAAGACTTTATTTCTGAAATAAAGTAGATTACCAATGACGCAATGTCTTACATTTAGAAGCTGAATGTTATTTTAATGAGTGATAAAACGGGTCGATGACGAGATTTATTTTTAAAAGATTGCTAAAAATGGAACTTTTTAATTGTTTGACTGCTAAGATTGACCACATGTGTTAAAATCAAAATAACGAGAGGTCAAAACTCGAGGCAAACGATGTCTTTAAGTGACGTCAAAGCACTGAACAAATGACACCATTGCCTGCAGCCTGTTTTCAGTAGTTTTTCTCGGGAGTTCTAGTATAAGTCAATGGCCTGACTAGAACTCGACTTTGGTCCGAACATTCAAATTTCTTATAATTTCTTTAATGGTAGCCCCTTTTACAACTCTGTGACGCTGTTCGTAAGTATACATTTTATTGTATCAATCCCGTGAGTCGATTTCCTTTGATCTTAAGTCGGTTCTGAGTAAACTAGTAAAATTTAGTTTGGTCTGAGCCATGTAAAATATCAAATGTAGAATAGGTTATCTCCCATTAGTCTCCAAATAACTACTAATCCGTTCTAAAGCAATATGGGTTTATTACATACAGACATAATGGAGGGAAAATAATGGTCATGGTAGACTAGTGTAACGCAGCTGACAAAACGAATTGGGAGTATAACATCATGTACACAGTGAATGAATGGAATTTTGCCAGGACACTCTCATAAGCTTGCTCCTTTTCTATATCCAACTGTCAAGGGATGTTTAACATGCACAACCTGAAGCACCCAGGGCCTAATTTTTTGACAGTATCCATTATGACCTGCATCATTGACAGCGGGAAACAGCTTTGAAAAATTTGGTATATTTAATCAGACTTAAATTGTAACTTGTCATACAAGTGTCTATTTTTCAGTATTCACAAGGAATAAGATACATAACAAGATTAATTAAGATAACAGGGATTATTTCTAACCTATGTACTATTATTAGGTTGGCTATATCAAGAGACACATTGATTTGGAAAAGATATTTTATATAAATATATTGCTCACTCTATAAATTATGATGTATTTCAAACATAACACAATAATCAGTCTATAGTCAGGTACAGATGTTAATGATATCTCTACACATTCCAATTTCAGTCAGATGTCAGTGTCTCTTGTAATCCCATAAAAAAAGTCTTTTTTGTATAACATCACTATCACAAGCTACTAATATTATGTTAGGGTGACTTCGATTGAACCTATGAGGTTGAGCTAGAGTTTATGGAGAAATGATGTAATTACTGTCAGTACCGTGTCGAGAGAATCAAAATCGAACTTGATTGAGTAAAGACAATATGGTGGTACTTTTAACCATATAAAGATATTCTTTGTGGCCATGTTAACTTGTGTTGGACTCTACAAATACCGGGGGTCAGACTTGAGTTTTTGAATGGGTTAAATATTAAGTCACACAAGTCACAACTCTAGAAAATATAACAACTAGGTTGTGACTCAAGAAACTCAAGTTCCAATCAAAGTCACCCTAAGAGCTGTTCAATAGTGACTAGTCACTTAATTGTAATGGATTGCAGGAACCACACACGTCTGACTGAAAATTGGAATGGTGCAAATTGATGCATCCAATACACAAAAAAAGTTTAGAAAAAATCTTTACAATCCCAAAGATTTATTGTTTTTACATTACTTAAAATCAGTCAAAATAAAGTGCACTACTAATGTTTGTTTGAATCATGCCTGGATGTAAATAAATATTTAATTTGGACTCTAGTTTATAATAATTTACATTGAACTATATACAAGAAACAAAACTTTACATATCGGTACATAGAATTTTACAATTAAGAAGGTTTGCTTAACTTTTGTGATTTCCAAATCATTTGAATTGGTTAGAAATAATTTGTCTCTGGACTTGAAAAAAGTCTATGGAAAAAAACAAATTTTGATCACATTCAGATATAATCAGTCTAACAAAATCTTTGTACATAATGGACCTCGGTTTGACAGAAATTGTGATCAGAATTAAAAAAAAACATAGAAAAGAATTATTTTGCATAATCTAAGCATGTTAGACACACTTTAGCAGTTGAATAAAACAAAATTACAAACAAAAGAATAAAATTCATAAGGTTCAAACTCATAGTTCATAACAAGACTCTTTTACATAATTTGCATGAAATATACTAATGTTGTAGATTAATATTATCAATGCATTTTGACTTACAGACTGCTTGAGCACTTAAAAATTATACAAATTCTCCAAAACACAGCACTGATAAAATTAAATAATTAACTAATTACATTGTATCCTAAATTGGGGGTGTGCATCATTTACAGGTAAATGGATTTTTGTCCTTATGTCTTCGAGGTATGGAATGGGTGTGCAATATATTCATAATTACAATGTATACTGTATTTAGTTTAATAACAACAGTGTTTATTAAGGCTTGATCCTCAAAACAAGTACCTGTCTCATAGAGAAATTCATCTTACATTAGTATGTATCAATATACATGACCAATGATTACTTTAAGTTTTCATGAGAAAAAAAAATTTCATATTTTTAATTGTTTACAATACTGTGTTCATTTGATAATGACTTCATCTGGAGATCAATTGAAAGCCATATCTTGTCCCTTTGCAGAAACTACTAATGCATAACCCCGCAAATTTTTTTTTTTTTTCTAAAATATTATAGCATCTGTTAAACTTCACTCATTGTTAGTACAAAGCATTGTTGAAAATTTGAATTTCACAAGTTTTCTGTGGTTCCTATTAATATCGTTCAAAGCTACATATTAAGCAGTGCAAAGAAGAGTATATATATATATTTGCTTCTTTCTGTTGATTCTAGAAGCTGTATTCAGTTTTGATGGCTTTTTTCCTTTTGTAAATCAATTAAAAACTAGTAACATACCAGTCTTACATCCTAATATATTTATCTTGTTTTCCTTATTGGCCTCTCTTGTATCTCAACTTAAAGGTACAGTTGAAAAGTACTAAATAATGTATACATTTTCTGGTTTCTCTATAACATCTATTGTAGCTGCACTCAAAGCTCAGAACAAAGCATAGATATAAACACAAATTCTTCCATTTGTTGATTTTGGTTCCATTCAAAGCTTTGTACAAAGTAAGTCACTTTTAAATCATAACATATAAACCTTTGTACACTATACATAAACCGGTACCAATTGTTCTATAAATAATATAAAAATATATATGTATATCATTTCCTTTTACCCCGCCCCACCCCCATCACAGATGTAGTTTTAGCTTTATTGTTTATGGCAGTTTTCACACTATTTGATGTCTGTTTTGAACTAGATGTTGTCTTAGTAACTATTGGATTTCCATTCTTTTCCTGAAAGATAAAAAAACATCATATCATAAACAAAATAGATTTATTTTGAAATCAATTCTTTATAAATTTTATAAATTTTATAAATTTTTGAAACTCTTTGAGAAATAGATAACCATCCATTTTCAATGAAATGAAAGGAAATACTTAATGCATGTTATATAGAGTATTTAAATTCTTAGTTTTCAGTTTCAAGTATTAACATATGTATAATTGTAATTCTATTGCAGCCTGCATTATCAATAAATCAAGAGCTTCAGATGGTTAATTTGTCTTGTCAAATGATAAAACAGTGTTTATTTCCCCAAAATGATAACAAGATTCACCTTCATTCCTTAAAGATTATGTATTTTTTCCTACCTTAGATTGAGACAAACTGGTACCATTTTCCGAGACCTCATCAGATAAAGCTGAAGACATGTCTCGAGACTTATTGGATATTATTTCACTATTTACTGACAGTCCATCATTATCATCTTCTTCATCATTAAACTGTCTCATCATCTCTAGCACATTGGTTGGACGAGAATTATCATGGGATTTACCCTAAAAGTGTGAAAAAATAAAATTTAGCATTTATTCGAAGAATCAAAAGAAATACAGTTTAATGTCCTACTTTTCTGAATTTTGATTTGGCTAATGGAGATTGGCCTCACCATGCAGAATGCATTTTTGCCAGGACAGCAGCAAATAAGCTTTGTTCATGTTTTCTCCCAACCACCAGAGAAAACTTGGCTTTTGGTTGTTATAAGAATGTGATGTTGTTTTGTAACCTGCACGTGCATACTAGACGTGTGTGACTGTGATATGTGATATATGTGTTCTACAGTAATAAATATATGAAAAATAAGTGTTGTATCTGAACATGTGCCCAACTCAATAAGCAACTACAGATGCTAATAGAAGCTCAATCTAAGCATAACATATAAATGTTACTTTGAAAATCTAACACTCCAACATGTTTAATATGTATCAGGTAAATATAAGAGAACTTACTGTAATCCAGGAATGATCTAAAACTTCACCAGCTGTTATTCTATGAGCTGGATCACATCGTAACATTCTCTCTATACAATTCTTAGCTAAAACACAAATATAATTCTTACATTTAAATATCATTAATGCAGCACAAATTCATGTAACAAAGGATCACAGAAGGGAGCATGTTGCTAACAATATATGACATGCAATGGAGTTTGACTTCTTTGCACTTGTGATCCTGTCTACAAAGGTTTTTTTTTCCACACCACTTTCCTTAATCTACAGCGATTTCAAACATTCATGTGATGATTAACATGCATAGGACTTCCTGAACCATGTGACTAAGATGTTCAATAAAACCAATCAGGAGTTTAAGCTGTCTATTTTATAATAGATTCATAGAGGTTCTATATCCAGCAGAAAGTTTTTCAAATTAAACGATATGGTTTAAATGGTTGAATCTTGAATATAACATGTAATTACCTTCAGAAGAGATTTTATCCCAGGGTTCACCTTCAAACTTGACATGGGCTTGTTTAATTAATTCATATAGTCTGTCCTCATCTGACGCATTAAAAGGAGGATAGCCACATAGTCTGAAAAAAAATATGACTTTACATGTATGATATCAGGAAATAGCAATATCAAATTCAAAAGAGATCCAAAACAGGCTTCTTTATATGTCACATCACAAAAAGCATCTGGATTATGGTATCTGTGATGTTATAATGTACCGATAAGAAAAAAAGAAATATACAGATAAGAGCAACAAAAGTAACTGATACACATACATAGAAAACCTTTTGTGAATTACTTTTATTAAGTATTTTAATAAGCACATAGAGACTAGCTATGTTATGAATGATCAGTTATTTTCAAACTTAATTTCAACCTCAAAATATATATCATCAAATTTACACAATTTATTTCGGAATTTATTGAAATGAAAATATATGTCCAACTTTCTGAGGCAGATGTGGCTTATGAAGATACTTTAAATTAATACTGTATGTTTACTTACAACATATACATAATAACTCCCATTGCCCATACATCACACATCTGACTGTATGTTTTATTGTCAATTATTTCTGGTGCTGCAAATACAGAAAATGGAACATTTATAATCTAAGAGAAGCCACAATGAGACCCAATTTCATTAAAATCCAATTATCTTTTTTCAAGTATTAAGATGTTATCACTAAACACATGATATAGCTCAGTGACTTAGTTTATGAATTACGTATCCATCTTGAAGAATCCACAGTGTCAAATACTCTGCTGAATTTATTTAACTCTTTGTAGAATCAGTACAGTACATAAAACCAGCACTTGTCATTATGGTACCTTTCGTTGAGAAGGTAACTCCATTATCTGAAATGTCAGTAAATAGCCTTTCTCTTACTGAAAGTAAAAATAATTTGACTGTGGAAAGGTAAATTTAAACGTGACCTTACACATATAAATAGGAGTACCACAGACATCCTGCATCATATTATCATGTCCAACACCATCTTTTACCACAGACAACCCAAAATCAGTCACCTTCAGAGTAAATGTAATATAGAATTAGTTAATACGACATATCAAATTATCTTATTAAATGTGACTTCTTAACAAAATTCAAATATTTTCATAAAGGGATGAACAAGAAGTTTTCCTTCCTGTATGCATCAGGGAGTCTGTATTGCACCACTTTCTTATCTAACATCTGTGGTTTATGCAATTCCAGAATAACTTCATCAGATTATATCACTATCACCTGATAGACCAGCACAGGCTAAACAAATCTATATAAATATGCAGAGACATTAAAAATGTTTATTTGAAAAGCTTTATTGTCAATTAAAAGTGGTCTGGATCATGAATTTCAATTATCTCCCATTAGTCTTCAAACTCTACTATACCTGTATATGTAGATGGTCGTTAGGGTCTTCAGGATTTTCACTTAATAAAATATTTTCTAATTTTAAATCTCTATGCACTATATCTGAAATTGAAAACATTTGCTACTCTAGAAAAAAAAAACTTAGTAAACCATACATATTTCTTAAAAAAAACATCCAGAGTTGGACCAAAAATGAAAGATTTTATTATTACAAATTTTACACATCTATAAATGCTATATTAGTATAATCATCCTAACTGAATTTATGATCAACAATTTCAACTCCTTTTTCTGAAAGTTAATGATGATATATGCTAAGGTATATGTTAAAGCTATCATATTTTGGAAAAACTGAAATGAAGAGGCAGCATGCACCGATATGTTGCAAATTTTGAAATATTTATATCATAGTATTAATGCACAGTTTGATTCTGATTTGATGACATGAACAGTTTAAAAACAACATAACTTACCATGTTTATGTAAATAAGAGATTGCACTAGCTAATTTTGTCATGATAATTTTACATTCAGATTCTGTAAATTGTCGTTTTTCTAAAACCTCATTTAATTCTCCATTTTCACACACAGCAGTTACTAAATACATACGCTGAAAATGAAAGTAAAAAATTAACATATATAGATGGACAAATTGGTCTAAACAAATCTAAATATTTCATTCTGAAATAAGGAAGGCATTGTAAAGTTATATCTTGGATACCAAAATTTACATCTTTATAGAGATGTTGGCAGGTAAGAAACACATAAAACATCACACAGAAATCTTCAGATAAAATTATCTTAATACCAATACAATGTGTACTGAAATTAACTTGTCAGTTTTAAGTCTTCAAAATCCAAGCAAATTCATAAGGGTTATTTTTGAGAATATATCAGCATTACTTGTGACAAAGTGTTATTTTTGACTGGTTAAGGAAGATAACTGATATGAACTCACCTTGTTGGACTCTATAACTTCATTTAAGGCTATTATATTGGGATGTTTTACTCTTTTCAATATACACACTTCTTGCTCTAATAACTTTAGTCCAGTACTTCCAGCCTGAAATAAATAACCACTGAGTTATCTCCCTTCAATGCTGGACAAATTATCGCAAATGCCAAAGATGTGGTGAAATGGAGACAAATGTCCAAATTAAGAAACTTATACCTTAGCTGGAAGAGCACTTCTTGAAAGACGAAACACAAAATTCAAGTTGAAAACTATATCATTTAAAGTATGTTTAAAAGGAATCCCTGGACTTCTGATACACTGATAAAATGTCTCAATGAGTCAATCATCAACATCTTCTCCTAGAAAACCACTACATTCGCCTAATATCAAATTAAAGTTCAGTTATCTCACCTTTTCCTTGTTAACACTTTTAATTGCCCAGTTCTTTCCCGTCTTTTTACTGGTAGCGAAATAAACTTTACCAAAACTTCCCTGTCCTAGTTTCCGTCCAATAACATACGATTCTTGCAGCGCTTCATCATTTTCTATACGGGTATGGGGAATTGACCTTTCTGCACTTCCCTTCCGTGGTACGCTAGAGGTCATGATGAGACCCGAATGTGTTTTTCTATCTTATACATCTGAAAAGGGAAATGACATCTTGATATCATCCATTTCAATCCAAAATGCTTTCAATTAAGGACTATTTTATCAGGCTGATCTGATAAACATTCCAATGTTTAGTTTGAACAAATTTGATGTTTTATTTTTGTCCTCGCATTTTCTTCCACAACTGTTTTAACGTAACGAAGTGCCTGAAAACACAAATATGAAACTCATATTTAAGGTTCTGCTTTGATACTTTTAGATAAGTTGTTTGACAGAAAACTGTTCAAGGAAAGACTGTAAAAAACAAATACAATTCTTTGAACATTAATGAAGAAATTCCACAAGAATTGTCAATTATCTTCAAAATTGTTGTGATTGAAATGATTAATATTAATCTAAAAACCTACCAAGTTCATGAAAGTTAAACGAAAACATAAATTGTAACAAATATTAAAAGACAGAATGATCATTCTCCGACAGAATATATTGACAAGCTTACAGCATTAATCTGTGAATTGTTTGATGATTATTGACCATGTTTCTGATACAAAGATTATTAATTGACAGGAGAAGTCGTCTATCAATCTAGATTAATAACCAATTAAACCATTGATCTTCTAGCCTTGATTGTCAGGACTGATCTAGACACCAAAAGCAATCAAAGTATCATGTGGTTCAAATAACATTGACACAATTAATATCTTTGTATCTGGAAAGTGCTACATCTTTCCTGGATATTTAAGATATTACTTTTCATAAAGGGTCTATGATATTAGCTTAAGCTGGCAGTCAGGCGTTAACTTGCCATCAACCAACACACTAACCATAAAGGGTCTATGATATTAGCTTAAGCTGGCAGTCAGGCGTTAACTTGCCATCAACCAACCCACCAACCATAAAGGCAAGGGTTTTTAAGGTCAATTTGATTTGAATTGATATGTAAAACAATCTATCATGTTTGTGCTTGGTATCTTTCATAAGCTTTTTTTGCCTTTCATTAGCATGAAGAATAGCAATCACAACGCTAAGGAAATAATGCTCTTTATCAGGAAGTTTGCCAAATGAGACTGGCCTGCCTTTCACCTCCCAGTTTCAAATTCTTATGATCGAGTTCTTAAATGTCTGGTTGTTTGCCTCATTTGACAATTCTGTGGCACCTCCACCCAATGATTGTTAGAAACACCAATGTGTCCAATGAATCCAATCAACATCCTCACATAAACATCCTCAATATTGAATACATTCGTGACATGAGCTGAGCAGACTGTGTAATTTGACTATGTTTACCTGTGAGAAAAAAAAAGAAATCACTGCTTATCCTTATATAACACCACTGTGTTCTAAATCAGTTTGTCTTTCAAATTAGCTATATCAATATCTTATTATCTTTCTACCTCATAAATAACATATCCATTAACCTCAGTTTAGTTTAAATACCAACTAGAACTTTGTCTATGTTTTAATTAAGATATTAATTAATTATAGAGTAAGAGATAAATCTCAGTCTACATGAAGAGACAAAAGAAACTTTGTAATCAACAGGTTTTATGATACTGAAAGAAAATTTATCAGAGGAACTACAGGACAAAATAATTTCTTGTTATAAACAATATTTTATTCATAAGATATAGAATAGGGAACAGGCTTTTGACTGTATGAACCTTTTCCTTTATTTCAAGAAGCTCTACTAATGAAGTACAAAAAAAGGATTTCTTTTTATCTTTTCTTACTGAAGAGGAATTGAGAAGAAGAACTCCTAACCAAATCTCAACTTAGATGATCTACAAAAGGACTGTTGAGGAACTACAATAACTACAGAAGAAGAACTTGTCATCAACCATCAATACCAAGTATAGAAAAGCTCTTCATCAACCATCAACACCATCACAGGCAAAGACAAGCTTTTACATCATCCATTAAGACTAAGTGGTATGGTAGAGCTCTGCATCAACCATCAAGACCAAGTGATCAGAAGAACTCTTCATCAACCATCAAGACCAAGTGATCAGAAGAACTCTTCATCAACCATCAAAACCAAGAGTTACAGAAAATCTCTTCATCAACCATCAATTCCAAGAGTTACAGAAAATCTCTTCATCAACCATCAATTCCAAGAGTTACAGAAAATCTCTTCATCAACCATCAATTCCAAGAGTTACAGAAAATCTCTTCATCAACCATCAATTCCAAGAGTTACAGAAAATCTCTTCATCAACCATCAATTCCAAGAGGTTTGGACATGGACTAGCTGGTAAAAAGGATTCTTGTACACCCAAGATGCTATCTTTCTTTCTTTCTTTCTGAAGGACTAGTAAAACGATCAAAACAGGCAAACCAGTTATACATTCATTTGTTTAACAATATACTCACCTGCCTATAATATAACTTATAGTTTCTGTTATTTTTTATAAATAAATAAATTTATATTAAAAATTATGAAGAACATACATACAAAAACAGTCATACCAATCAGAGTATTTGTGTACAATGTGATATAGGTAATATTGAATGATTTATAATAGTCTCTGATATCATATATACAAGGAAATGATAATAAAAAATGTCTCAATCAGTGAATGTCCTGCACACTGACACCTTAAAACCCAGTATATCATTCATAGTATGACACTATAACTTCAAATGACGTTTTAACAACTCGAATCACCGATATTTATTGCCCTTATAACCAATCACAGAAAATAATCTATAGTTTGAGGAACTTATATGATCATATTAGTGCATACTTCAAACATCATAAATTCTTAACTCTATCGTCAACCAGTTTTCAAGTACAAGAGATTACAGCTTTGGTACTACTAGGATATTGAAATTCAATCAAAGGTTTTCTATTAAATAATCGTACCATGAAGATATTACATTAAAATTTCTTTTAATATGCTTTTAATATTTGAGAATCTAATTTACATAGCTTTTAACAATGATTGAATGATTTAATAAAGGTTTTGATAAGTGATTACTTATCACACACTGACACTGTTTTGTACAGACATGTTCTGACCCCATGACATAGTCAAATCTCTGATCTGAATTTAATTTGTGTGAAAGCTCAAAGTCAATGCTTTCAAATTACTTCAATATATGGTATAAAACTATTCATTCTTCAGAAATTATTCCTTTGCAGGAATTGATCATTACAACTGTTACCCTGTAATTTAGCTGTAAGTACCAGTTATGTATGAAAGAAGCCCAGAAATGTCTGTTATTCTTCTTTTTAAAAAAATGAGTTGAATTTTATGGATTTTTTATGCCATCATTACATTGTACACAATAATATTTAGAGATATATCTCTTCCTGTATGTTTGAAGTGAATAAATACCTGGCATCTCGTATTTTTTTTCAAAGTGAAGTACACCGGTATATCAAGAATTTTTCATATATTTTTTTAACCTTTTGCACACTAATATGTCGGGCTGTGAAAATTTAAAGATCGGTCCTGATATCTCTCCCTGTAATAACCTACCTTATACCAATAAAGTTGATTGTGTACAGGGGATCAGAAGTTAATGGAGTGTTAAAATGAAGGATTGACCTGTCCATTCAACTGGACAATGTCTCTATACAATACTAGACCTAGTTATTATAGATATAATACCAAATATCAATAATATAATAAATAACATAGATATTAATAATACTACCCTCAAATTATTTCACATTATAATAACAGCCAGAGTAGAAAAACAGACAGAAAAATCTCAGACAAATTTGACAAAACCTTAAATATTCAAACTTAAATATGATGACCATAAGATCAGGAGCAAACTGAACAGCTTCAGGCCTTCAGACCAATGGGTTTCAAAAGCCCCTTTGACACTATTCTCGTGCTGGACAAGGCCATAATTAAATGTGCCCATTTACATTACAGTAAACTCATGTGGTCTATGAAAAGCGTTCATGGTTATCTGTGGAACTCTTCTTGAAGAAATTGTAACCTTGTAGTCACTGTGATGTAATCGAAGACATCTGAATAATGACGAAATTACCCTGGAAAAGGTGAAGGTAGCTTGTGAGGCATGTGCGGTAAAGTGTTCTCAGATTTGTTTACCGTTTACATTACACCAATTTATCAAGTCTGTTCTGAAAACTGATCCCAGACCACCTCACAAAGGTTGGCCAGAACTGGAACAAATCTTAGAATGCTTGACCGTTTGCTTTTTTACAAAATCAATCTGTTCCGTTCTGAGAACTGAGAACGGAAAAATTAAAGAGCCCCTTACTCAATGCCCAACTGATCGAGAAAATATTATCCTAGCTTATGCCTTACCCTCAACCTCTCTCTACTCGATTTTCTCATCAGATGTAGGCTATTATATGAATTATGATTATTCTTACATAACCAAAGGGCAGAATAATGCAATTACTCTGGATACTATTTGACTTTTGTGTTTAAAACTAGACTTACCTGCTTAAAATGACAGAAACAGTAATGCACTTCCTATGTATAATTAACCTTGATTCACGTATCAGTAAAAACACACAATTACCCTTATAACGTTAATCAAAAACTAGTATACTTTCACAAAGCTTACTGACCTGCCTTAAATAACACAAATAGTAGGCTTTAGTATTTGATTTCTAAAATCAACTATGTTTAAGGTATTAATGTATTTGTTAAGACGTTCTATATAAACAGTTTATTAATGGGTGATATATTAACAGTTCACCTGGTATACCCCAGTCAATAACCTATAGATCTATACTTTATAACAATTGGTAAATTGACACCTCTGTTCTAGTTTCTTTTTATAAGGTCTATTTTCAATCAATTAATCATGCACATAATAGATATAGAGAGCGATTTAAGGAAACTATTGTTGAAGGAGATGACCTCATTAAGGCAGTATTACATGAGAAAATTCTAGAGTCTTGCTGTAACTTATCTACCTCTCCCCTCCCAAAAATTTTGAAATATGAAGTTTATTTTGTTAATTCGACCAGATTTTTGATAACTTGCAAATGAAAATTTAGCAGTTTG